TGGCGGTTTGAGGACTGCAGTGGTCTACGTAGTTTACAGGTTTTGCTTTCTTCTTCTTTGGAAACTGAACCAAGAACTCCATCTGTGACGGCATATGATCGTAGGCGTCATGATGTTGAAAAAAGATCCCATTAATTTATTTGTTTCATTTCTCTATATTTGTGGGGCTGTTCAAGACCCCCTCTGAGTCATTTTGCTTGTGAAAAATGCTGGATGATTCAAGCACTTGCAACTTTAAAGTGTTTCAGATATAGACTGCAAAAGTAGAGGGAGGTAATTAAATGACTCAAGTCAATGTGTGACCTGCAGCAGCAGGAAAAAAAGCACATTTGAACCTTTTTAGCCTGTGACTCATCGTTGTTATGTGCAAGTTAAGTCACAACAAGCATATTTGCATCCGTCAAGTTGTATTATATAGTTTTGGTGATGGACACAAGAGCAAGAGAGAATGTGAGATATTAAAACAAACGGAGTGGGCAGAGGAAGAGTTCTTTTTGACTAATGGTCTCATTTGTATGACAGCTGCTGCTGGCGCAGCTCTGTAAATGTATGTTAATGTGATTTTCCTCTGGTTTAACACCATTACCTATCTCATGCAAACTCTCTTCTATTTCTTCCTTTCTCTCCCTCCAGGTCAGATCCAAGAAGTGTCCCTGAGCCAAGAAGAATCGGTGCACCAAGTAACGCCTGAACTCGACCTGGAAGTGGTTCCCGAACCATCCGGCGACTGGCACAATGTCTTCCACTGACCACACAAGTCCCTGTGCCAGATAGCACTGTACTGGTTGAGTTTTACAACTAAACAGCAAAGCTTTGCCAAAGCACTTTCCTCCTCTCGAAATGCTTACTAGAAGGACAAGACTATAGATTAGCTCCACTGTACACTGAGGGCTTTGACCTAGCAGCAGCCTGCTGTTCATCCAAGTTTGGATTGATGTAAGGAGAGTTTAGCTCCCCGTGATTGGCTTAATGATTGATCTGTTTTGTTACTGTCTGATTGTCATCAGTTTGGCTCAATAAACAGGCATCCCAGGGAATTCTCCAGGAGATGCAGGTCCCTCTCATGCTGACCCGGTTGTAAAGACAGGAAGCTGCACTCTGCGAAAATACTCCTAAGAGACGAGCGTGTTGTTTGTCCGTTATTGTTGTGCCCACAGGGATTAAGTGGAGGTGAAAACAAATTGTACCGCTGTCATGACTTCAATAACAGAACTTTTTTTTCATGGGTCTACAAGAAATGGCACTTTTTTGTTACATATGTGTACTGTATATAATTTTGAAGGAAAATGTCGTTAGTTCCATGTTTTTTTTACTTAGACAGTGCCCAAAGTGGTGTTCCAAACGTGTTAATAATAAACGATTGAGGTCAATTGTTACCTGGGTTTTATGCTATACGAGGTATTTGACGTGTGGGCGTTACCTTTTGTTTTTTGTCATTTAGACTCAAAAGTACAGACATTTCCGTTTACTTCAGTTCATTCTGTAAATATTGTAGCTAGATTGCATCTATTTTCTGATGAATCCCCACAATATGGTTTGGTTGGAAATATGTAATTTGAACATAATGTTACATTTATAATGAAGCAACGCCAATGTACAGACAAGCTTTTTTTGCAGTTGTATTTTCTATTGTCCACAATAAATTAAGATTAAAGTCATTTTTGTACTAATTTAAGCTTTCATCTCTTTTTACTGTATCTTTGATTTCCCCTCTAATAAATGAATAGTATCACATTCTTTAGAAGAGTCGATACCTACAAATCTCTTTTGTGTGTGTTAAGGTAAAAATAGTATATAGTCCGTCGAAAAAGTAATGAAACAGTCATGTCTAAAAAATATAAAGTCAGTATATTGAAAAAATGTATATTATAGTATGTTTAAAAAAGTCATTCAATAAAATTCACCGAGGTCCATTTAGAGATAATTTCCTCGTGCGAAGGTCCGGAACATCACAATAATTCCTAATTTGCTCTATAATTTAGTGCCTCATTTATTGAAGTAGCCTAACTTGCTGTATTAATGTCTTTATGTAATGAGTAACTGGATGTCATTTCAAATATAGAAAGCTAAATTGAATAATATTTCAAATTCAACTGTATGAATTATACATATTACATACTTGAATAATAAATTCTCTCAATTTAAGTAAAATGAGGGACTCTTAAAGTACATCATTTCAGAAAAATGAACTGAATTGTCCAGCTTTAAATTCAGTTCATTTAGGTGTGAAGTGATGTCCGCCAAAAAAAGCCACGATATATATTATTCTCTTCTAAAAAGAGAAAATTGTGCGCATCTTTGTTTGACACCACTTGTTTCAGCTCTATTCTCTTGTTGGACATTTGAAAATGTTATGTTAGGATTCTGATCATATTGGGCTCTTGGGTTTATTTCTCTGTGTCTTCATTTTGGATGCGAGTGGGTACGTTTGCTCAAAAGATGTGTGCCTTCTTGTGGTGGCGGTTTACGTCGCCGCTTTTAATAATCATCACGGTCTCTGAACATGACACTGTTTTTTAACTGCCCGTGAGAAGAATTAACATAAGTCTATCCATTCTTGGTTAAAGACTCTGGTCTCGTCGTCCATTTTTCTCTTTGGAGAACGCCATGTGAAATAACTTCGGACTCACTTTCTCTCCGACTGTTGGGTCTCTCTGCCGTGTTTGTGTTTCTCACTCAAGTCAAGGTCAATAATTATAGGAATACACATATTTGACAAAAAGTTTTTATAAAAAGTCCATATTGGAAAAAGTGGAAAAAGTGAAAAAAAAAATCAATAGTATTGTATGTTGACAATAAATTTCATCGTATACTGTGTGGAAAAAAAGTCAAACAAGTCATAGTATAGGAAAAATTCATAGTATAGTGTGTCGAAAAAGGTCTTAAAAAGTAGTTGTATACTATGTCAAAAAAGTCACAAAAAAGTGAAAGTATGATGTGTCGAAAAAAGTGATAAAAAAATGTCATAGTATGACAAAAAAATTCATGTAAAAGGTCATAGTATATGTTACGTCCCTTTTTCTACTGGTCCAGGGGATGAGTAGAGACGAACACAAAACAACCCAAATAATAGACAAATAATCCGACGTGGAATTTAATCAGAAACAATATTTATTTCACATACATTCCAACAAAAGTGAGTCTTACACAGAGTGGAAAAGGATGGGACGTGTGTGGTCGTGCCAAACAATCAAAATCAATATAACAAAACTAAGCCTGACTTAATACCTCTGAAACAAAAAAACAAAATGGCTTTTCTAGCTTCTCCAAATGTTACTCCATCAAAACCAAATACAGAGGGGGCACCGTCCAATAAACCTAGTGTATCTAGACACAGAAAACAACTACGTGTTTGTACCAATGTACAGGGTACCCCAGACTCACCTACTGTCCGCAACCTCTCACTCCAAACCTTAATATTTAGTCTCAGCATCGACAGAACACAACAAAATGAAGAGCGGGCTGAACTTCTGAGGCTTCCTGCTTTTATTCTTGGCTCCCACTCTGCTGATTGGCCAGCCTGAAGTTGGTGCAACCCATGGAGCAGCACGACCGGCCCCCACAGGTGGAACCCAATCAACTGATTGACACCCGATAGGAAATAAGGGAGAGAGAAAGAAAGAAGGGCAGGAGGGGAGAAAACACAACACGTAACACCCCCACCCATATAAGCTCAAACATAATGTTTGATACTACAGAGCACGTGACAAAACATCCGCAAGAACATTTTCAGACTGATTTCAAGACTGTAGTTTGAAATGATCAGAGACCAACGTATTAGAGCTGGTTGTAGTTATACATCCTGGATATAAGCACAAGAGTGTTCTGATCTGTGAAAACTTTAATAGGCTTAACACTTGACCCCTAACACTTGGTAAACCTCAAAATGCTGTAGGGTGAACAACATTGCTAGAGCTTCCTTCTCTATGGTGGAATACCTAAGTTGATGTTTGTTGAACATCCGTGAGAAGTAACTCACAGGATGATCGATGCCCTGGTCCTCCTCTTGCAGAAGAACTGCCCCAGCTTCAACCGCACTGGCATCAACTTCCAGCTTGACAGGCAAGGAGAAATCTGGGGCAGTCAGGACAGGAGTGCCACACATTATACCCTTAAGTCTTTCAAAAGACTGTTTGCACTCACTAGACCACACAAAGGGCTTTGCAGGACTGGTTAAAGCAGTCAGTGGAGCTGCTACAGAGGAGATGTTTTTGCAGAACCGTCTATAATACCCTGACATCCCAAGGAAACGGCGTAGCTCTCTCCTGGTTGTTGGTTCAGGAAATGCTGCAATGGCTGCGAGCTTGGCATCCGTAGGACGAACCAGTCCTCGACCGACCCGCTGACCAAGATGGAGAACAGTTCCTTTTCCAAACTCACATTTGGCAAGATTGAGTGCTCGAAAACCTCTCTCAATGTAGTCATGTGACCAACCCAGTCATCAGAATAGACAACAATATTGTCAAGATATGCTCTGCAGTGTGGAACGTCTCCCAGTACTGCATTTACTAACCTTTGAAAAGTTTTTTTACAAGTAAACTCCACTTTCAGTCAGGAGGTTATTAGCAGAGCGTAGCACAGAGACTGGAAGTAAGAGGAAACGGCTCACAGAAAAAAACTCATAGATCTGTTACTTAAACCAGCCTTAAATTGAATGCAATCATTTCCTGAAGTTTACCTCACTGTGCTTATTTAGCAGTGACATGTCAGGACCCTGCCTTCCCACTGATTCATGTTTCATTCACCACCACTCAAACAGTTGTTTGGGAAAACTTGAGCCTGGATGGTGCTCAAGCCGCTCAAGTCACGAGGAGCTCATCAAGCTCGGCATGAATAACGATTCCGAAATGTGTCGTGAATTCTGGCTCTATGAAAGCACATTAGCCTGCCGTGATGCTGCGACCCTGACCCAGTGACACCACTTCCATCCCCTTCAGTTCATTTGCCTCTGGTCGTGCCAAGCCAGATAGAACACACACTGCACAACACAGAGAGTAGAGTTGGTTTTATAGTTTTTATTTTTTATTCTCAGTTAAGTGGCTGGTCATGTTTTATTACACATACAATAATGAAGAGGATCTTTACATTCATCCACAGGATCCATTCAGAAAAAACACATCACACAGCGCTCACGAGGCTCAAGCACACACAGTGGGAGAGATGAACGCTACAGATCAAACACGGCCGCTTTTTAACACATGAGGAAGAGGGGATGTTTTGAACAGCACCCGTGGTAGTGCTGAGCTTTTTTTTCTTCAGAAAACATGCAAATTACACATTCCCAAGAAACACCGTATAATGTGTCACTACAGGGTTAGTTACAGAGCACCTTTTTTGAAATTGTGGTTTTTTGAAATTATCCATGAGAAGGCAACACAGCACTTTCGTTTGGTAGTCAGGAGGAAAGGCACTTTTACAGTATGTGGGACATGTGTGAGATAGAAACAGCGAAGACGAAGGAGAGACCCAGACTACACTAAAGCAAAGAGGGAAGGTCTGAATCTAGCATCATTAGTGTATATACCATTATCTCATGAACCAAAAAAAGAAATGATACATTAGAAATCAGTGACTATTGCAGAAAATGGGATTTAGAAGGTTTAGAAATTAAATTTTTACCACAAAAGACGCAGCCAGCCGTAGGCCCGGAAGACAAACACAGATCAACATCACATGACAGGACACTTAACTACAGCTAAGACACAAAGGTGGAATGAAAACACACGGTGACCAAATGGCTCTATTAAGAACGCAAAATCTGTTAAACACAGGTTTATGTTTTGGGGTTCACAGAAAAGGTTTGTGGGAATGACGAAGACAGTGTGACGAGACAGAAAACCGCTCATTTTGAAAACAGAAACACCCCGGCCTTTTCATACAATCAGCAAGGGGGCAATGACGGTCAAGTCAGTCGGACTTGCACCGGCCGCAATCCTTCAACTGCTCCAGGTGTGCTTCGGTTTAGCCGCCCTTTTGTTAGAGGAACCATCGAAGACGTCCACAGAAACTCAAGCACAAGTATAGGAGGGGGGGGGGCATTCGGGCTGCACACGTGAGTGGCTTCAGGATACATTTCAGCAAAAAAAGTTCACGCAAATGAGGGGGGGGGGGCAACAGATTGTGTCGCTATCTACCAGCCAAAGGGGTGGGTAGGTAAGAGGGGGAGATGAGGGATTTAGCATAAGTTAGAGTGTTATCGGAGGAGGAGGGGAAGGTAAGTTTAGGGAGGGGTGACAGGATTTCTTCCTTTTCTTCTTCTTTTTCCCCCACTTCAGTCATGTGATCTTGAACATCTGCCCTCGTGCTGTTGGAAGGGGTTGTAGAGAGGGACTTCAGCGTTTGCCTGGAGAAGCACTCCTGCTTCCCTGTGTAACAGACAAGACATTTGTGATGAATATGTGGAGGCGGCAGTCCCACAGACCTGGTTCAGCATTGAAGGACTACCCTGGTGTTTTTTCTCAGTCTGGCCCTTTGATCATTTCACTCTCTCCAGACTGTGATGGGAGTTTTCACATCAGCAGACAGCATGTGAAGTAATAGGTGGTTGTAGACAATAAGTTGTCACAGAACAATGTAAGTCTTCACCATTGATGAAGGCCATTATGAATCATCAATGACAGCTGTCTGGCTATAACTTGGCACATCCTGTGTTACACAATAATCTTTGGTAAGAGCAGAGAGGTTATTTCATCAGGCATTAGTTCTTTCAGTCACACGTCATTACATGAACTCATTTTCCAATGTTTTAGATGTTGCAAGCTCTCCTCCCGAGTAATGAGACCAGGGCTTAACACGGAAAAGTCAGAGTAGCCCTTTAATGTGAGAATCAAGCAGGTTAGTATGTTCGTGGGGCAATGTTCAGGCCTGCAATGATGCATAGTTATGGAAGCCAATAGAAAACAAAAGTAAAAAGCAAATCAATGAAATATATCAGGAATGATAACAAGTCAACATTTTCAGAGAGTAAGTCAAGATTATGATATGGGGAAAAAAAAAGTGACTTTCTAAATACAAATCTTATCATAGTGAAAATAATAAGTGAAATAATAAGATAAAGTTAATAATAATAATAAAAATGAGCTTCAATGCATCGCTTATGTTGCAATGCACATCATTTTGCATGCAGGTCTTAAATCTTTCTTCTTTTTTTTTTAAATCAACAACAGAGGGTTCTCACTCTGTCTTTATAGCAAAGAGAAACAGTTGGACATGTGGAGAGGAAATCAGGTTTTCACAGGTAATTACATGTTATTTCACAGATGCCGCTAATGTGTTTGTGTGAGGTAAACAGCCCAGTTTTCCATTTATCTTTTTGTCCACAAAGTTTCAGAAAAGACATCCTGTGTTTATCACATTCACAAAGCCTCTCTGAGGACTATTTTGTACTTTTTCCATCCCACCCTCTCATTCAGATGAAAAAGAGTATGAACTCTGAAAGCAAAACGATGATACAAATGAGACGAATCTTCATGGATTGCTTAGGAAGACCATCTAATGTAAGAAGCTTTGTACCCCTCATCATCAAACAAAGGCTGGGGACTGAGCTTTTCTTCTATTCTTACAGAATGAAATTCATTATCTGTCATGAAAGAGAAAAATTCGTTGTACAGCAAAATGGGAAAATGAAAGCAAATAAAAAGAATAGTAACAGAGCATGACACAATTGAAAGTTAACATGGCTTTATGCTCAATTCCACCTCGACTGTGAAGTTTATGAGTGAAAGAAAAGGATCGTGATAGCGGGATGGCAACTGAGTCGACGCGATCAGAAAGATTTGAAACGAGCATCCAAGAGGTTCGTCATCTCCAGAGCTGTTTACTCTTTTGTAGCTTAGTGACAACAATTCAGCCACTCACAATGAACTCCGTTCTAGACAGTTTACGAAAGAGTTCTTTCTTGTATGCAATTTCAGCTCGCTAAGTCGCAGCCCGGGGGGGAATTTAGATTTTTCAAAAGCTTCCGTAATTGCTAAACTAAGTCATCCGAGGTACATTGTAGAGAAGCTGGCTCATTAAAACCTGACAGGTTAAAACTGGCAGAGCATGACAGCCGCCCGCTCCTTTTCATGACACATGGAAACAAATTAACAAGAAGGATGAATTGGAAAGTCAAGCAGCAGTCTGAAGTACATGTTGATAAATAAGCTAAAGCTGAAGCATTGGATGAATGCTACGCGGTCTCAAATTGTTTGCCCGGAAAATGTTGGTGTGGGAGTTAAAACGCCTCAGTTTACTGAGTCGTACTGTGTACTTAAGGATCAGTTTTATACTCTCCCAACATCTGTGTGCACTGAGTCCTCCATAGCACATGAGCCAGTCGTGCTTGGCAAGTGATTAAAGACATTACATAATAATGGCATGATACACATTGTGCATGAGCCCACCCCTCCCTCTCCTGTAAAGCAGTTACAGTATGTTAGCCATAGCCCAGCTGGACCCTTATGGGAACTGCGCGGGCATAAAGCTTGTAGCATGCATGATGATCAATCTATTCTGTCAAAGCTCTCTTATTATTCTGCTGCTGCTGCTGCAGTGGTAATGAGATTAGGATGTCTTCTAAGCATATCAATGTTGAGTGAGTTAAACTCAAGTATCCCTCCATCACGAATCAGTTACTCACTCTGCTGCTGATATCATCACTGAGGCAGGAAAAACAACAACACAGGGGCAAGAAAGTGATTAGGAAAATAATCCTTTTTCTATCCAATCTTACTTCAAGGTAAAGAGAGAAGCCGTGTAGAGAAGCCACTGGGAAATAGCTTGAAAAGTTTTTGTAATGCAGTTTTTTTTTTTTTTACCATTTTGAAGATCCTAGTGAGGGTGCCTTTGCCGTCCCCTGCACTGGCCTTCTTGGCTTTAGCAGACTGTGACTTCTGGTCACCCTGCCCAAGGGAGAAGAGAAAAGGAGGAAAGGAGTCAGTGTTAATAGAGTCTCTGAGATGTTTGTCAGGGGGATTAAGACTTCATGTGGTTGACCCTTTCACAGATTGCCCAGGATTCAAATTTCAGAGAGTAAAACATAAGACCCTTTTCTCTCATGTGTGCTCGGGAGCAATAGATAGATCAGTGAGCTCGAAAATAACCCAAACTATCGGATGACACTGGGTATGTTAAAGTGCAATCCCATTTGGCCTGACTTTTACAGTGTTGCATTTCTGGCAGTGTTTTCATCCAAGCAGTTCATGGGAATTATGCACAAGTTGGAAAAGCTACAGAGCAGCAAAGAGATATGAAGATAAAAGCCTTTCTGCTTGCATGTTTTGTTGAGAATTTGAAACTAAGGGGGAATTTCCTGGCACAACAGTTCATTTCTTTCACTTTCTGAAAGCATGCACTAATCTCACTTTGACCACATGACAGTCATCTGGACCAGTGTCGTGAGACTGTGCTGACACTTCAAAACATGACAGCGAATGCTAATCAGCTCTGGACTTTTTTACCTTTTGTGACTTAATGACATTTAGTAAACTGATTTATTCACCTCCTCAAGCTGGATGCAATGAACAGAATGTATTTTATTTCAGAAACATTTTAAAGGATCGCTGCTTGACTCTTGGATGAAACACCTGATATGGTTCTACAGCTTCATCCTTTTATGTGGAGATGCTGATGTCCAGTCAGATATGCATGAAACACATGTATGTAAACTGGTTTTAAGATTCATTTCCTTAAAAAAAAAAACCACTTACAGACTGTATGAAAATGATTAAAAGTGGTGAAGGGAGTTGAACCTTATGTTTCACTTTATAAAAATACCAAAGGTTCCCCCTACTTAACCCTTTTTGACCCCCTTCCCACCCAAATAATGTTCATACAGTCCCTTCTCAGTCTCAGTTTTCTGAGCACACACACGCACACACGTGCATGAGGGCCCTGAGTTGTGCTGATAACGTCGCAAAATGAAGCAGAAGGCAGCCTTACTGCACCCAGCCACAGAGGAATTAAAAAAAGAGAAATTAAACTAGGCTAATGAGGAGCAGAGCAGTACCTGTGTTATCATGAATCTACAACTACATGATATGGATAAGTATTGCTGCAAAAAGCTACAAAATGGGTATGATGTATTTGGAAATGGACTTCAGTCGTAAGGAAATGAGGCCGTTATCGCTGATGTATGGACAGATTACAACAGCTTAAGTGGTGGATGGAGACTAAATGGAAGTAGAGCCACAGGCGACACACTCGGAGGCTGTTTTAGAGGATGACCTCACTTGCCCCCTCGGTTTTATTAGGCATGATAACTCTGTGTTTTGTTTTTTAAACCACCTACCAGGCCTATGCTGGCTGCTAGTCCTCTCCACTGGAGGGGTAGAGACACAAGAAACAAGGACAAGAGGTAAAAGGGAGAGCGGACAAATATAAATGTGTATCTTACTCAGCGCAAAGGCAGGATGGGAAGGAGAGGAGGCAGATAGGAGGGTCCGTCCAGGGAGGGGGGGGGGGGGGAAGTCACAGGGTCACAAGGGGGCAAAAGGAGATGAGGCAAAGGGAGCAGATATGTGGGGGAGAGGGGGGGGGAGGAGAGGAGCAAGGCAGGTGCTCACATTGGAAAGAGCACAGATTTAGTGACATCCAGCAGCAGCAAAGACATACAGAATGTGGAAAATAGTGTAGTGGCACACTGCCATCATCTCATGACTTCTCAATGAATTGTCTTCAAGCATTCTGGTTAAATAGTTTTCTTTGTATGTTGTACGTGCTTTTATTCAAACTTTATCCAAATGTTGCTGTTTTTTTGTGCATAGGTTCAGTGACTTACAGATTACACTACGGGTACAATCCCCGATCTATTTACTGTCACTATTGACAATACTGGCCTACTATTTCTGTATTTCACGTGTGAGTGAATAGTAGCAACATAAAGCAGACTCACCCTAGACTTGGGAGGGGCAGGGGAAACCTGAAGAGGAGTTAATCACAGCAAGTAGAGAGATTGGACATTTGAGTTTGTGAGAGATCACAGAAAGTAACAGAGGAGCAAAGAGACAAACATGGAGGGAAAGCAGCTGGAAGAAACAGGGATGATCCAGACTCCTACTCCTAAATACTGTGACTATATTGTTTTTATCACTTACGATCGTGCGGAAGAAATGGACCACAGCGTTCTCTGCTCCACGCTTACGTGGGGAAGTCGCAGAGGCTTTCTGGGGGCCTGGAGAGAGAGCACCTCGGAAAGATCCCTGGGAAGGAGAAGAGGAAAGGAAAGAAAAGGAACAACACACCTACATGTTAAATAAATGTATGATTTTGCACAAAATGACTTGACCTTAAGCTCTTGAGAGAGAGATGCTCAAATACAGTTTCACGGGGATTTTTTCAAAAGCTTTAATAATAAATGTATGATTAATACTTAATACTTGAAAAAGAAACAGTTAAAACACAGGGGTTGTATGAATGAATACCTAAAACAATACAAAAATAAATCTGTAGGATGTCCTGTCCCACTTACCCGTTGAATGCAAAAAAATGTGTTTATAGGGTCCAGGTATAAAAATACAGAATAATTACTCCTTTATTAACATCTTTACCCTGAAAAACTCATGGTACATAGATGCAGAAATCCAAAATATGAATATATTTTTATGATTGACTCTTCTTAGTGGAGAACCTCCCGATAACTTTCATCCAGCCATAGAGATTCATTCAATCAGCAGCATTAATAGCAGTCTCACGTCGCAGACTCCAACCTCATTAACCTGTATTCCAACCTGGCAGAAACCTTTGACCATCAGTCATTAAAAACTAATTGGAATGCAACAAATGAGCAGTTGAGAATGTCAGTATGTTCCTTTGTCAATGGCTTGATCTCAACAAAAAGGACTAATTATCACCCCAAAGGACAAATCAATGCAGCCAACCTCCTCAAAGTCAGACTTTACAGAGAATACGCCAGGATGAGTGTTTAATAAGGTCGATATCCTCTGACTTTTTGGCCTGGGTAAAAACACCGGTGCATTAAAAGTATCCTCTATTATGTTATGCAAACGGCACAGACACATTAAAGGTGAAAGGTCTAATCCCTGTAATACCAAACGCCATCAACAGCCTGCAGCTCACGGGAGAAAAAACAAATTTCCACTCGTCTTTTCAGTTAATGTTACTTCATTCATCCCTTTCTCTGACCCCCATTAACATAACAGGAAAACGTGTGTGATTTTATGTGTGAGGGAGATGTTGATGATTCACATCCATTATCTCACATCAAAGAACCGTTAGGTAACGGAAAGAGGGGGAGCTTTCACCACCACCGCCCCCACCATTTACACGATATGATGTGTTGTCAGATTATATGTCACCTTTACTGTCTTTTGTAAGGTTTTGTGTATTCCAGCTCTGTAGCTTCCCCTTTGCTTTCAATAGTGATGCTTAATGACGTTTTCTTGAATAAGTGCGTGTCTCTGTGTGTGTGTTACTGCATGTCTGTTTCTGACAGGATGTAAATGATTGAAGATGCACGCAGAAATGAAAGGGAGGGGAGGAAATAAAGCAGCCTCTGTGGCCGCTGTCATGCCTTTGTTTGGGCAAAGAAGACAAGAAAAGGAAGAAAGAAAGAAATAGGAGATCAAATAATGCTGTTTGCATTCTGCTAGTATGGTCTCCATTTCCGCCGGTCGACCCTTTGATGTGAATGAGGTCTCCTCTGTATTTGCTCTTTCCTCTTGTCATGTATTCTCCTGCTCGAAAACACTTTTATCTGTCTTTATTTTTCCATTTAGAATGGCTAAAAAACCCAAGTTTTTCCATTAGCTTCTGGTATGCTGTTAATGATGATGGAGACTTTCAAATCGTGAGCAGTGACAGTTTTCTGTTAATCTAAATTAAAAGCTGTTTTGATGTCCGAAGCGTGTGAGAGTGAAAAGAAGGTTCAAAGAGAGCGTCTGCCTGTAACACATGCACATCATTTTGTGTGCATTTCATATTTCATATTTCACAGTTTGTCCAGTTACGTGACACCTGTCCTTTGGAAGTTTGACTTACAATCACAGTTACAGCTACAATCACTGCTCATGCTGAATATCCAGCTCTTTTATCATTTGAACAAGAAATACAAACAGCAGAAGAAGGAAATAGTCAGTTCCTTGATTTCCTAAAGTGGCTATAGGCTGAATTAGGTTATCTTTATAGGAGTAATTTGACATCAACATCACTCGCATAACTGTCTATTTAATATAAAACTATTGAACCAGGAGAACTGCTCTTTCCAAAGGTAAAACATGACTAACAGGCTATAGCCATGCTATTAAGCACAGCGGTGCTTTGAGCTAAATACTGATGCTAGCATGGCAATATGCTCATAACGAGGATGCTAACACGCTGATGTTTAGCAGGTGATGTGTAAGCATGCTAACCATGGACACACCCAGATCTGGCTTCACTGCTGCCTCAGCTCCAGTGGGATGTGGAGAGCTTCTCCTCCTCCGGCCAGGAGCAGAGATTTGCCTCGCTGCTCCACGGGGAGCGCTGCTGGAGGGCCCGGGCTGTATTGCTGGGCACACTGCTGGGAAGGGAGGCCCAGGAGCACCAGAACCAGGGCTGTGTGGGGCAGACTGTCAGACCCTGCCACAGTAAAATGAGGTTTCTAAAGGGATTCTGGTGCTAGGAAACAATACTGCTTTTGTCCAGAGTGAGAATCAACACAAAGTTCCTCTTAGTAGCAATAATATGTTATATCTTCTTTGTTTAATTCATCTATAACATATTAATTAATGAGCCAGACTTGCTGTTTGCCCATTTCCAGTCTTTATGCTTATCTCAGATAAAGATCACCTTGCTCCAGCTTCATGATCATCAGATTAGCTATACTAGTTGTATCAATGTTAAACTATTCCTTTTATTTTATCTCTAAAGGTAAGCTGGGCAGCTCTCAGATGCTTCTGTTGTCACATATACATTCCGGATATGTGCACAATATGAGCAAATGAGTCAAGTGAGATAATCAGGATTCAAGACATGGAGTGAGATACAAGGTATTTGTGCCCTGTAGCGTATCACAAAGGGTAGGTTAATGATCACAACCGCCTCCTCTGAGGTTAGAGGTCACAGTCTGGCAGGAATCCGTCATTATGGATGATGCTTAATAATTCACTGGTAGCAGAGGGGGTGACTCTTGAGATTCTTCATCATTAGAGAGTGTCACTAATCAACTAATAAATGAATCAGAAACGTGCATGTAAAATTCATGAAGAATTGTGCTGAGATAATTGTACCTCATCAAGTCAGGTACCCAGTCTGCAGCACCGAACGAGAGGAAACCGCTCTTTCACACATTCATTACCTGCCTTGTGTCAGACTGTGCATCCTTGCTCAGCTAGAAAATAAAAGTAGTAATTACGTTCAATTCTTGGGACTCGCGGGGTGAATCGATCGGCCAGCTGCAGCTCGCTGCTCCCCTTGGAAGGTAATCAGTTCTTATGCCTCGCAAAATCAAATACCAGTTAAAAAGGAGGCTGATTAAGCCAAAATCTGTGCTGTCAGATATAACTGATGAAAAAAACACAAAAAATGGGGGAATGGAGCTTAGAAAAAGGGAAGGAATAGGTTGTTGTTTTTATGCTAAAGGAAAGGCTTGAATTAAGCTGCATGTCTGTCCACATTCCTAAACGATGTTTTCATTGTGCAACTCCTTCCTATGCCAGGCTGTACTTCTTTCTTGGTCTATCTAACCAGGGGAACAAACACACATTTTTACATCTAAAAGATAAATCAAAATGAGCCTTTATCGATTGAATTTTGTAATATTCATGAACATGCTGCTCTTCATGTTAAAGCAAAGTTTATTTCAATTTACGCAAGCCTCCAGAAAACAAGAACGTTCGGATTCGGGTAATTACTAAACTCTGCCCATTTAGAGGACAAACTGTGACTGAAAGGTGTTTAATTCTCTACTCTTGTCATTTTATCTTGAGGCTCACACAGACAAGTCAAGCCAATCATCCATTACTCAGTACTATCAGAGCGGATATAAACTATAGCTCCGCTTTCCATTTAACCTTCTCTGAAAATCTCTTTTGTTTTGCAGTGTGTCCATGTGATTGACTGAACTCTGGAATATATAAATTTGTCTTAAAGTCTGTAATCTTAATGGCTTAGACTGCAAACGAACACAAGATTATTGAAGAAAAGTTTTCTACAGTTGTCTTTTTTTCTTTGTCTTTTGGGGCTAATCTAAGAAAAATAAATTGCGACATTGGCTTTTTTGGCATTATTGAGCAACATTTCTATAATACCTTTCAGCCTATTGTAATTCATGTCGTACCCTAGGGTAGACAGTGTCTTTGGAAAAGGCAACAGAATAAAACAGCAGGAGCACATGCTACACATAGTAGGCTAACCTCTACGAGTACTAGTCATTCATTTCAAACATCATCCCACTATTCGCAGCCGTGGGCAGAAGACGAAACCATATAGAAATCATTATTTTTTTATTATCATTTTATTTTTATTTTATATTGTATTATTAATCTGAATCTGCAAAGTAACTATAGCTGTGAGATAAATGTAGTGGAAAAAACTGCAAATTTCACGAGATGTAGCGGAGAAGTATAAAGTAGCAGAAAACAGAAATACTCAATGAAAGTTCAAGTCATGTCAAAGTTGTACTTTAGTAACGCTACTCCCACATGTAACGTTAGTTAGGTCCTTTCCATCACTGGTAACCGAGTGGAGAAATGCCATGAAATTAGCTAATGGTAGTTAGTTCAATCAAACAGCAAACTCTGGCATGCCACAGACAATCCTTCTCACACAGCAATTCACTCGCTCACTGCCAGAGCAAATAAAGTGCTGCACGCTAACGTTAGCCTCGAAACAGGACATGGCAATATTATAAAAATAAAACCTTAAATTAACCTCAAGTTTTGATGACACATGTACCACTTATACCCCCCCCCCCCCACAACAACCCCTCTTTGGATCTACACGATCAACCTGAATGACCTGCTTGACACTAAAAATGGCCGAGCACTTGCCCATTCTGAGTCGACGCGCTAACGTTAGCTTGTTAGTAGCAAGGTGCTAGCTGTTATAGCGAGTAGCTTTGTTTTCCATCCTGACAACTCCCAAAGTCAAGAGGTCAAGTACACCGATCTGTACTGTCGTGTAACATCCAAGTTTGTTACACACAAACTGTAACGTCACATGGGTTACACACACACAAAACATTTTATGCATTTGACAGTTATTTTTGAATATTTAATCCTACAGAAGACATCTGTAAACAAAATTCAGGACTACTTAAAAATATGTTTAAGACCCCGCAGGTAACCTTTATTATACTATGAAGCGTCAAGCATTAAAACAAAACAAGGAGAGTATTGAGGGTGTTGTTAAAGAGTTTAATCAAGCAAGAAATCCAAGAAAAGGTTTAGAACAGGATCAGGTTAGGAACAGGTAACCGGTCACAACAGTTCACAACAGATACAAACGGTTACAAGTATCGTCTGCAAAGTTGAAGGCGTTACAAAACCGGAACCAGCAACGATCCTCTGCTGGTTCAAACAAACTGTCTGACTGGGTCAAAGACGCGTGAACCTGAGGTGAGCAGACTTTTGTGAGGGGGGGGGCACAGCCGACACCCCCATTCCATCCAAGACACTGGGGTTGGAGAACAGTATCACACGAGTTTTGGTTTCGACTGTGAACTGTTCTGCTGAAGCCTGATTAATATACCGTAATCACTCCTGCGTTGCATTATATGACTGATTCTGTCTGCCATTCAACAGATTAATATGCAAATTAAACATATTATCTGTTTTTTATGAGTCTACATTTCTGTTGGAATAGCTAATGCTCGTTCAAATTTAATTTTGCCTCCAATTAACGGCATCATTATCCCTGTAATTTGAAATGATTAAACATCCGTTATCATTCAAATGCAGATTTCCTGCAGTCGTTTCATGTACTGAGACATCTCAGAACTCTCGTGCCGTCTTAGCAGGTTCTATAAACCCAGACTCTGCTAACAAAGGACTGGGATCAGTTTGTAAAGGTCTCCACACCTGCCACATCTTAAAACAATTACTCAAGCATAACTCAAACAAGCATGCGTATTGAAGATCCAACAGAAAACACTGACACAATCTTTCCCAAAATGACTGCAGCCTTGAAGTCGAAGTACGCATTAAGGAACGTCTGTGGAGACGTGTCCCTGGCAGGGCAGATCAGAAGTTAAGCTGGGAAATATATTTGTCATCAAGAGGAATTCTTGCTGGAAAATGGGAAGTGTTTGCAGCAGAAAGTTAGTGCAGGTTGATCTTTTGCTAGAGGCAACGGAGGTGGGCCGAACCTTCCTGTCATTCACTTGAGCTGTGAACGCTCATCGTCTGAAGGCAAACCCTTGGTGAATACATAAATATTTATTTGTACAACTTTGTTTGAGAAAACCTGTCATCAATATGGAAAGCAATGTACAATATTATGGCATAAAGAATAAGAAAATATGCAGCAAATTGGTCACCAGCTTATTGTTGAATAAAAGCTTCAGAATTTTGTTCCGTTGACATTTTCCCTGAACATTTCACGAGTAACATTTTACAAAAGCAAATCGACATCTGATCAGCAGAACAGGCTAATGCAAAGATTTGTAGCATATTGCATACACAAAATCTTTTTCTTACAATGAACACCTATTCATAGCTGACATAAGGCGTGGGGGGGGTAATGCATACATGCATGCTGCCGAGTGGTTTCTTTGCAATTACCTTGCCAAACCTGCTGATTTAGCGCTCTGCAGGGTAAAAAAAAAGCTGGATAGAAAACAAGCTTAAAATCAGAGAGTATATTTGTCCACAGGATTTAGTTTGCTGAGCTGTCGCTCTTTCTTCAAACCGTTGTCAGCAATGTCCATGCATTAAGACAGCAGTCGAAATGAGCAGACTCGCGATGGGACGTCCAAGAGGCTTTGGGATTTAGCTTCAGCGCGTTTCACTAGTGTTGTCAAGATAACCGAGATTTCAATGCTGTTGTGAACCAATGTTTTTTAAATTCAAATTTGAAAACTTAAGCTGAAATTCCATTTCATCACCACCTCCAGAGGGCATCACTAAGTGCACACACAGCCCACACACTGGAAAGGTGTGGAACCAACAGAGCAGCAGTCTGGTTCTTAATGGCTTTGGCAACAGTGCTAAGCAGCCCATCATGTCCGTCTTAACTGATGGACAAACTGGGGCCACGAGTACAAATTAAGCTGTCCCTACCTGAGCAAAGAAAGCCACTAAACCAACACAACTTTACTTTACAAAGTAGACCTGATCAGACAGGTTTTTATATTTACTAATGGTCAAATTGACGGTCTCTTGACAACACTAGAATACAAAGTAATACAAAATGCAATGCAGGCTCCAATGCCTCATAATAATAACCACTTGCCTGCAAGATAAGATGAGCCTGTTCTTATTTTATAGAATGCAGACTGTATATAATATGTCCTTTAATCTAATACATATCATTATGTGTCAATACACGTAATGTATCTCTTTGATCTTTTATAGCATAATGTGATCATCAATAACTGTGAAAGTGACTTAGCTGAATGCTGTATGGTGCAAACAATAGTCAAGGCTTATCACAGATGTTAGAAATGACCCCAGAGACAATCAAAGACACTAACTCTCTGCAAAGAGGCTCTGCAGAGTACCCAATGACTCTAGAAAATCCAAAATAATGTTCCACTATCACATCTAAATGATACGGACATGAATCTCTTTCATCATCGTCATCATCATTAAGGAAAGTACCTCTAAAACACGGCGGTTCTTAACTCCGGTTTGACGTTCCAATAAGCAAACTGCATAACGGTAGAAAACAATTCCACCAACTCAGCTCTACAACAGATACATTATACTCAGCTGAGGAGGAAAATGCTACTAATGTCAGTACCATTCAAATAAAAGCAAAACGGAACAACATAGAAATGTGTCTTTAAATGATTCAAAATCACAGCTCTTGAAAATGAAAAATAAAACAAATCCCACCCGAAGTCATGATCCGGTGTCGACCCATCAACCTATTAGCCAGTTAATGTGACCCATAGGACAGAGTCAGACTTCGGTTCACCATAAAAACAAGAGTAAAACCAACACAAATCTATATGACAAATATGTTGCAACAAATTCTGTTAAAGAATCAGAAGTAAAAAGTGGTTCTGGGAGTGAATCGGCAAAACGAACAGATACATGAGAAAGGGTCGAGCTTTCACAACGACGCTCCCCGCTTCCTCACCTTGGTCTTCCTCTTCTTGTCCCCTCCAAAGAAATTTCCAATCTGATCCAGGAGGCCGGGGCTCTTCTTCCTCCGGCCCAGCCCGAAGGCGGCCTGTGCGGAGCTGCTTGCAGATGCCATGGTTGTAGTAGTTGGTTTGTGTTTGGCAAAATTTGAATGTGGGGCTCTCTCTTAAATGAGAGATCGAAAAACAGAGGAGGGAAAAGAGAGGGAGGGTGGGAAAAAAAAAAGCTAGCCTAGTCTAGGTCCTGTTCAGGGTTATCCGACCCGCACTCTGAAGCCGCTCCGCTGTGTTCCTGGATGGTCTGTAGCTCGTCCGATTCGGAGGGTCGCTCTTTGAAGGTGTTGTCCTCTCGGCCCGGGGCATCTCGGGAGAAGAGGCGGGCCAGGTGGGGGCGTGGTGTGGCTTCGTCAGGGTCAGCTGTGCTGGCGTCGGGCCAGGGCTGGCGGGGGCCCTCAGCGCCCGTGGAGTCAGTCACCGCCGGCTTCTCCGAGACGCAGCCATTGTTCTGGTTCACATCTGCCTCACCCAGGCCTGCGCAGAAACAAACAAGGGTCATCTATGAGCTCGGGCCCCTGCATGGCACACAACAAAAACCACAGCAGCACAATGGGCTCTTTTGACGGGACCGTGCCCTTCCTGCTGCAGCAGAGACCAGCAGAGCTTACATTTCACAGTGTAACTTGGACAAAACCTTACCTGGCGAAGAGGAAAAGGTAGAAATGTGAGATTAAAGACATGAGCAACTGAAAGTGTAAACTAAGCACTGTTTTGTCTCTGAGGAGGGAGCTTCCACCACATTCAGTTTTCTTATGGGCAGACTTCTGAGTCAAAACATTAATCGTGTACTGGGCTCACACAATTTTACAAGAGAAGTTTCTTCAAAATGACACTGAAATAAACAGAAACCTCCCTGATTTTCAGGCTGCATCACCTACATCCAGTGCAGTGCATCCTGTCGCCCCTCCCTACATTATCACCCACGTAAAAGCAATGTTCCAGCATATCACTTCCAGCGAGATGGAAATGCAGCTGCTTCTCTAACATCCACTTTGACAGCCATCCATTAGGTTAGCCAGCTCCCACAGCAGAGGACATATCTAGTGCATTCCTGTCTCCAGAACAATATCCGCACTGTACTGGGAGAAATGGTGTAGCACTACACCAGAGAATCTGCATGCTAATATTGGCTGAAACAGTGGCCTGTTGTCAGAGCTGCATAGTTATTACAGGGGAAACAATGGGCCCAATGTCCCTAAAATAACTCCTATAAGTATGGATTTTCCACCCAATGCACGTTGACACTTATCTGATTTGCGGCCCGAGAGCTGAGAGGCCGCTGTCTCTGTGTGCAGAGCTGCCATGTAGAAGCTTCTTACAATTTTAGATGGAATTACTCCTAAAAATTAGTTTTGATGTTCTCATCCGTTGTTTCACTATAGAATGAGGGCTTATTTTTCATTCATGGTCTCCAACAAAGGGTCTAATAAGTGAGGAGAACAAAAATCATCCATGAAAAGCATAATTTTTGAACTCCTTCTGTGATGAGACATAACGGTAAAAAGGCTTGAATGAAAATTATCTGAATCTACCACTCTCCTGCTATCGGCGTGGTCTCTTTAGCACGTCCGTAATCTCACCACCTAAGAGCTTGCTGCAGCCTGGCCACACAACACCGTACTGCTGTCAAAAGTACTTAGGGAAAGTTGTCTCTTTCAGTGTGTTGCATTTTCTCATAATTCTATTTTTTGACAAACTGAAAAGCCATTTTATTGGCCGTTTTGAGACACTGAAAGACTAACAACATTCTCGCAGGGTTATAGTTGCTTCGAGGCTGATGACAAATCCCATTCAAAAGACTTTCTCCTAAGACTTTTCTAAAAAGCGTAACATAAAATAAGAAATGAAGAAGCTTATAGTACAGACACTTTGTGTAAAAATATATATTTTAATTATTATAAATATTATATTTTTGAATACCTTTCAAATTATTCTGATGGCAAAAACGAAACAGTCTGAACAGATTTCAGCTAATTTGTGTCCATGCGAGTGAGCTATATGGGCAAAGGGCCCATAAAGCTCTGCATCACACATCTCTCTTACGCAGATGATGATCCATGTTCCTATATCTGCAGTTAAGACAGCTACATGCTCTCCTCTGGGTTTTGAGAACTCTTAAAGTTTACATGTTATAACAGTGAGTGGCTCTGATATCAATACTGATATTTGATATTGTGCTGATCAAACCGCTTGATCTGGTGTCGGTGACATTGGGGGCGATCTATTCAGTTAAATTCTATGTATACATATACATTAAATACTGACATTTGAATTCCAGTTTTTGTTTTGACCAATTTGTTGCTGCATTCAAATTTTTACACTAACTGTAATTCCTGTTAATTTTGAAGATTTATATAGTATTTTTTCTTGTTTTTACTCCATTGGCATGAAAAGTTCTTGTTGTGTTTTGAAGTTTCTCCCAGGAGTTCGTTAGCACACAGCAGGACCTGCCAGTCATTTGAGTAAACGCTGGCTCGGGGATCTTAGCAGCCAACAGTGAGGACGCATTAGGGAGACACTGTGCATGTTCAATGTGGTCTATGGATCCCTGACCTTTCCAGAGGGATTGCAGCAGCACATTTGTTTAAGTTGTGAATGCGTATATGGAGCTATATATCCTCACCTGCAGCAGCACAGCCTCCTACAATCATGGCAATGCATTCTAACGAATGTAAAATCTCCACACGGTAAATATTCAGAAACATAACTCGTCGTTCTTTATCACCAACAGATGATATTTCACTGTGGCTGTTATTTTACCACAAAGCTTACAATAAATAAGAGAGCTGCTGGTTTTTTTGTACTTCAGTGGCCATGAGCCCCCTTAATAAATCATTTGCAGCATCCATCTACCGTTGGGTCATTTTTCTAAGCCCTGCGAGCTACCATCTGCCATACCAATAAAATACAAACATCAGAGAGAAAAACAACCTGACATGGTTGAACTTCAAGAACCCTCCACAGTGCAGAATACTGACTCCATCATGTTTGGCCATAAAATGTGCTGATGAGTAACTTATTAATCATCTGACTCCTTGCACGCTCTTATCAAAAGGTGCACTGACTCAGGGTTAGGATTGTTGATCGGCGCTGATGACTCAGCGATTACTGAGACAGGTGCTCACATTTCTGACTCATCCGACCCCTACTGTTGTCCCCAACACGTTTTAACCGCCTAATAATGAAGGGTGGTGGACGAATCAGGTGACACAAACCAAATTTCTTTCAAGCTCCAAACAAATTAGACAACAGTAGTATTGTTTTGGGATTTATCATTGCGTTATTTACTTCTTAGAATCTTATTAGATCTCTGCGTGGGTTAGATTCCAGACTCATCTGGGTAATGAAGATAAGATAAGACTGATTCGTGTCCATCACCATCCGTTCACATGCTGGATCAGATAGCGACTGGTGAATATTATATATTCACTGTTGGTGAGCGACCAAGCCTCAACGTCTAATTTACAGTCAACAACTTGTTTGCTTCCTGACTAAATTTCCCCTTTAGTTTAATAACAACTGCCGTTGGGTCCGGCCCCCAGCAGAGCTTAATAACACCTCAGCACACCTAACCAATTGTTCAATAATTGCAATTGCCTTTGCTGCTGAGTTTTGAATTCATTGGACGTCTGTAAACTCTCATTGTTGCTGTGGGGGGCTTACGGTTAAGCGTCGTCGTGTTTCCGTTGGAAATATTTGAGAATATTCAAAAGAGAAGGGGAGATATGCTTTTCATATCAGGCCAAATATGACGCAGCATGTTTCTTTTTCCTCCTCCTTCACGACATCAGGTTATGCAAAAGAAGCACACCTTGTAAACAACACTAAGGGCCAATTATCCGTCAGTCGGACTTATAAGGCTGCAAGAGAGAAGCAGGGGTCTGTTGGATTCTCTTTGTTGGCTTCCTTCATAAATGCTGGATTTATTCATGTGTTGAAATCCCAAGAGAACGTCTGTCCATCACTGGTTTAGCAGAGGAGAAGACAGTTGGGTCAGAATCTGTTAACCTCATCACTCTGTACGCCTGCCTTCATCAGCACCAACAGATGCTGGCCTAATTCAAACTATGTTTCCAGCGCTTTCTCATAATGTAGCCAATATTTTAACACAGTCTGAAGGTGACCAGATAACAGCCTGTTACCTCATCTTGATTACTTTCCCCATGAAAACTCCAAGATGTCCCTATGACAGCTAAAGGGGCCAGATGGCCTCATCATTCTTGTGAAGTTATGGGGGCCAAATGACAAGTGATCTGGCACCTCAGATTATTGTGCCCAGAACAATTACCATCACCACCTCTGTCTCCTGCACGATCTCGGTTCAATAGTTAGGGGACGGCATCAAAAAGTGATGAGAAGGGATCTGTTCAGTGGAGATATTCAGCACCCTGCAAGAGGGGAAAGATTGGCATCTAGGGAAGAGGTATGCAGGGAGTGGGTCTCAATCTCCTCATTTTTCCTCCTCTTCCTCAGTGTGAAGAGGATGTGTAGCCTATAGCCTCTGGGACAACAACAAGGACTGTGGTGGGACTGAGGCACGGAAAGCATTCCTCTGAAGAAACATCCATCGCTATGTGGCCCCGAACCAAACCTCCCACCAAAGGGCGAAAATCCTTCTGCCGCTGCATTCATGGTGGATCTGAAGCACCCACAAGCCTTGAGAGAAAAAGCCTCTCTCTGTCTGTGAAACCCCGTTTGGCATTCAGGACGTTAGTCCTCCAGAGATGTATCTGGACGAGATAAGAGCCACAGCAGAAGCACTCTCTTCTTATGACCCAGGCCATGTTCATGACCTTCAAACTTCACTTTGAGTAGATACTGAAATAGGGAAGGATGTGAATCAAAGGGAAACAAATGCACACCACTGTACCAGTGTACGCTGTGATGATAAAGTCAAGACAAGATTTTGCAAAAAATATATATATATATATTTCTTTTTTGCCATGTCAAATTGAAACCAAACAAGCCTTTGAATTTCCCACACTGTATATCAATTTACTAGCTGCATTTGTCTTGGCTTGTGTGCTCCACCATGTACACAGCGGTGTCAGAGCTTCTGTATTCATCCGAGCAGCTGTGAGGCTCACCTTGCACTGCGACCGCATATACCGAAAGCCGAGGCCTGTCATCACCAACAGCTCATCGCATCGATTTGTTTGCCCACAAACATCAGCTATTTTTCGTCTCTGTTTTTTTACACCTCTCTCTGTATCACTCTTGCTTTCTTGACAAGAGTTGATTAAACATTTACAGGTTTTCCCTCGCATCAATAGAGGTGTGTGTGTGTGTGTGTGTGTGTGTGTGTGTGCGCCATACTGGCTTGTTGTAAACTCTCTACAATATTAAGAACATATCCTGACTATTTGTTCCTCTGCAGTCAGGAGTTAGTCAAACAAGTAACTGTGGTCACACCAAATGGAAATATTGCTTTATTCTGTTTTGGGGCTGCAACTAACATGTACTTATTTTCTTAT